CCCCAGCACAGAGATGTCCTGGTCACCAGGCAGGGATGGGATTTGGGGGAAATCACATCCACCAGAGCCTGTGAGCAGCACAGGGGTGTCCTGGTCACCATTCTGAGATGGGATTTGGGTGAAATCACCTTCCACAGAGCCTGGAACCTGCACAGGGGTGTCCTGATCACCAGAAAGGGATGGAATTGAGTGAAATTTCTTTCCCTAAAGCCTGGAACCTGCACAGGGATGTTCTGGTGACCCGGCTGGAGATGGGGTTTGGGTGAAATCACCTCCCCCAGAGTCTGGGAGCAGCACAGGAGTGTCCTGGTCACCAGAAAGGGATGGAATTGGATGAAATTTCTTTCCCCAGAACCCAGAACCTGCACAGGGGTGTCCTGGTCACCAGAAAGGGATGGAATTGGGTGAAATTTCTTTCCCCAGAACCTGGAACCTGCACAGGGGTGTCCTGGTCACCAGGCAGGGCTGTGGTGGCCTCTGGGGATGACTCCATGTGGCTGCAGGCACTCTCCTGGTCTCGGAGGGGCTCTTGAGTGATTTCCCCGTGAGAGCAGACCCCAAATCCTTTGTTTCTCTGCCATCTGCAGAGAAAATAGACAGAACACAGAGGTCATCAATCCTCCAGGGCAGGATTGGGTTTTCCCAAACCCTGGCTCACCTGTCACAAACCCTTGGGGACAAACCTGCCAGGGATGGAGCTGTCACCCTTCCACCTCTCCTGGATCCTCCCCAGCCTGCTGGGATGGGCACTGGCCTTTTCAGTGGTGACACATTGTGGTTTTAACCCACAAATCCTTAGAAATAAACCTGTTAGGGATGGAGTTCTCATCCTTCCACCTCTTCCAGCCCCTCCTCATCCTGCTGTGATGGGCACTGTCCCTTTCAGCAGTGACACATTGTGGTTTTACCCCACAAACCGTTGGAAATAAACCTGTCAGAGATGGAATTTTCGTCCTCCAGGGATGGAGTTTTCATCCTTCCACCTGTTTCAACCCCTCCCCAGCGTGCTGGGATGGGGACTGTCCCTTTCAGTGGTGACACATCCCCACAAACCCTTGGGGACAAACCTGCCAGGGATGCAGCTTTCATCCTTCCACCTCTCCTGGATCCTCCCCAGCCTGCTGTGATGGGCACTGTCCTTTTCAGTGGTGACACATTGTGGTTTTACCCCACAAATCCTTGGAGATAAACCTGCCAGGGATGGAGTTTTCATTGTTCCACCTCTTCCAGCCCCTCCTCATCCTGCTGTGATGGGCACTGTCCCTTTCAGCAGTGACACATTGTGGTTTTAACCCCACAAACCGTTGGAAATAAACCTGTTAGGGATGGAGTTTTCATCCTTCCACCTCCCCTGGATCCTCCCCAGCCTGCTGTGATGGGCACTGTCCTTTTCAGTGGTGACACATTGTGGTTTTACCCCACAAATCCTTAGAAATAAACCTGTTAGGGATGGAGTTTTCATCCTTCCACCTCCCTTGGATCCTCCCCAGCCTGCTGGGATGGGCTCTGTCCCTTTCAGCGGTGACACATTGTGGTTTTAACCTACAAACACTTGGAGATAAACCTGGGGTAGAGCTTTCATCCTTCCACCTCTTTTGGACCTTCCCCACTCTGCTGGGATGGGGACTGTCCCTTTCAGTGGTGACACATCCCCACAAACCCTTGGAGATAAACCTGACAGGGATGGAGTTTTCTTCCTTCCACCTCTTCCAACCCCTCCTCATCCTGCTGGGATTGGCACTGTCCCTTTCAGTGGTGACACATTGTGGTTTTACCCCCCACAGACCCTTGGAGATAAACCAGGGATGGAGCTTTCATCCTCCCCCTTGCCCCTCTCCACCCTGTTGGGATGGCTCTGTCCCTTTCAGCAGTGACACACCGCTGTGGCCCCTGATTTTAACCATTCCCTGCTGTGTTTAACTCTCTCCCCGCAGCCCCCAGCCTGTGAGCAGGAGGAGCAGCCTGCAGTGGGATCCCTGCCCGGGCTCTCCACGCCCCACAAGAAGAGGAAGAGGCACAGACGGTTCCTTGGCCGTTGATAAAATGGGAAGCAGCGTCTCCCCAGCAGCCCGGCACGGGGAGCTCCAATCCTTGCCTGGGGGGCATCCCTGGGGGCTCTGCAGCTGGCAGGACACAGCCCTGTGCCACTGAGGGGTCGGGCTGGGGACAGCATGTCCTGGCAGAGCCGCAGGACCCAGCTGCTGCTGGTCAACTCGCTGACCTTCGGGCTGGAGGTGTGCCTGGCCGCCGGCATCACCTACGTGCCACCGCTGCTGCTGGAGGTGGGCGTGGAGGAGAAGTTCATGACCATGGTGTTGGGTAGGCAGCTCTTGTCACCTCTCTGATGGAGATTTTGTCATCTCTCTGAGGGTGGGATGGTTTGGGCATGGAGGAGAAGTTCATGACCATGGTGTTGGGTAGGCAGCCCGCTTTTGTCACCTCTCTGATGGAGATTTTGTCATCTCTCTGAGGGTGGGATGGTTTGGGCATGGAGGAGAAGTTCATGACCATGGTGTTGGGTAGGCAGCTCTTGTCACCTCTCTGAGGGACATCTTGTTGCCTCTCTGAGGGAGGGTTGGTTTGGGCATGGAGGAGAAGTTCATGACCATGGTGTTGGGTGGGCAGCTCTTGTCACCTCTGTGAGGGACATCTTGTTGCCTCTCTGAGGGAGGGATGGTTTGGGCATGGAGGAGAAGTTTATGACCATGGTGTTGGGTAGGCAGCTCTTGTCACCTCTCTGAGGGAGATTTTGTCCCCTCTCTGAGGGAGGGATGGTTTGGGCATGGAGGAGAAGTTTGTGACCATGGTTTTGAGGAGGTAGGCAGCTTTTGTCACCTCTCTGATGGAGATTTTGTCACGTCTCTGAGGGACATTATGTCACCTCTCTGAGGGAGGGATGGTTTGGGCATGGAGGAGAAGTTCATGACCATGGTTTTGGGTAGGCAGCTTTTGTCACCTCTCTGAGGGAGATTCTGTCGCTTCTCTGAGGTAAGGATGGTTTGGGGGTTATGGGCTGGTGGAGAGGAAAGGATGTTTTGAGGTTTGGGACAGAGGGAAGTGTAGCCATGATATTTTCTGAAAAATCTTTTCCTTGGGATTTTTCCTCCTGAGAAGCTGAGAGGCCTCAGGAACAAAATGCAAGCAATGATTATCTGCTGCTGTGGAATGCAACAGGTGCATCTGTGATTGGTCATTAATTAGAAACAACTGCATTGGCCATTAATTAGAAACAACCACATGAGACCAATCCCAGATGCACCTGTTGCATTCCACAGCAGCAGATAACCATTGCTTACATTTTGTCCCTCAGGCCTCTCAGCTTCTCAGGAGGAAAAATCCCAAGGAAAAGATTTTTCAGAAAATATCATGGCTACAGGGAAGGATGTTTCTGGGTTTTTTTTTGTTGAACCTTGTAGTGTGGAGGGTGGGAGTGAGTGAGGGCAGGGAGAGAGAGGGGCTGTGACCCAACCTCCCAAAGTGACCAAACACCCCTTTTAGGAGTGCCCACAGAGCAGCTGTGTCCCCGTAACACCCCGTGTCTCTTTCCCAGGGATAGGCCCCGTGCTCGGGCTGGTTTTTGTGCCCCTCATCGGCTCGGCCAGCGACCACTGGCACAGCAGCTATGGCCGCAGGAGACCTTTCATCTGGGCGCTGTGCCTGGGCGTGCTGCTCAGCCTTTTTGTCATCCCCCACGCCAGCAGCCTGGCCAGCCTGTGTGCCCTCAACCCGCGGCCCCTGGAGATCGCCTTCCTCATCGTGGGCATCGGCCTGCTGGATTTCTGCGGCCAGGTGTGCTTCACCCCTCTGGAGGCCCTGCTCTCGGACCTCTTCCAGGAGCCGGACAACTGCCGCCAGGCCTTCTCCATGTACGCCTTCATGGTCAGCCTGGGGGGCTGCATCGGGTACCTGCTGCCCGCCATCGACTGGGCCTTCCTGGCGCCCTACCTGGGCAGCCAGCAGAGCTGCCTCTTCGCCCTGCTGGCCCTCATCTTCCTCGCCTGTGTGCTGGCCACGCTGTTTGTGACAGAGGAGGCCGTGCAGGGGGATCTGCTGGATGGGCCAGCGCTCAAAGACGTGTCCCCAAAGGC